GATATTAAAATGAGTCACCAAACTATACACCCATATATTTAAATGCTTAATTTTAAAAGTAAGGCATTAGAGTGGATAAATCTGAGTTCTACTCTCATTATTTATTACTTTTATAATCTTAGGTTTCAGTGACGCCAACTTACTTTCATCAAATTTCTTTTTTTTTTTTGGTTTTTCGAGACAGGGTTTCTCTGTAGCTTTGGAGCCTGTCCTGGAACTAGCTCTGTAGACCAGGCTGGTCTCGAACTCACAGAGATCCGCCTGTCTCTGCCTCCCGAGTGCTGGGATTAAAGGCGTGCGCCACCATCGCCCGGCTCATCAAATTTCTTAACTTTTCTCAGTTTACTGGAGGTTAAATGTGTCTTGTGGTCTTACTATGTATATCTGCAATTATCACGTTGAACTTTAGGTAAGACTACTGAGAGAATATTTAGAATCAAATTGGGAAACTTCTGCTGTATTTTAAACAGGCCTGTTTCTATATAAATAAGCATGTTTGGCATATAGCTTTGTCATTTATACAATTTGTTTTTATATATAATTTCTCAAATTTCTTTTCAATTCCAGGTCTAAGTGATATTCTGTGTATAAATGGATTACCGTTCTTTTTGCAACCATAATTAGTTTCTTTCTGTTAAAGAGTAGGATAAATATATTCATAACCTCTTAGTATATTCTCATTAAAAGAGCTGTTCTTACAATAAACAGAAGTCCAACATTTGAAGAAGGGAGTCAAGGTACAACTATTTCTAGTTTGAGTGAAAAAAGTAAAGAAGAAACAGGAATAAGCTTACAGGTAAATATTAGAAATTCTGTAATGGTTTATATGTGATATGTTGTGTTGTTTTTTTATAGTGATATTATTGATTTTAAAACTGAAGCTACTTACTGAACTGAGCATTGTATGTATGTATGTGTATATATGTGTATATATATATGTGTGTGTGTATATATGGTCTGAGTAGAGAAATAATTTCCAGTCTTGACCAGCCACTTGTTATGTAATGCTGCATAAATAACTGACCCTGTCTGACTTTGCACCTCTTAAAAGTCTGAAGTGAAATCACCTGTCTCATGGTGTAAATTTATACCACACAGTTTTTGCCGTTGTGTTTTCTTCTATTTTATTTATAGCATTTCTAAGTTGCTAACTTTTTTGCATGTATACATATGTCACAGAGCAGCAGCTTCATTTGTAAGTTTCTAAGTACTGTCTCAACGTACTTAGTAGCACTGTTTGGCACTCCTGAATCTCCTTAGCCAGCTCATTCCTCTCTGCTTTGATTAAACCTCTGAAGTTCACGTTTTTTTCTAGTTGTCTTCAGCTTGCCTTCTGCTTTTTGGAGAGAATAGTTGATGTCTCTGTTACTTTTCTATTGCTGTGGTAAGAAACCATGAAGGCAACTTAGAAGACAGCATTTAATTTGGGGCTTATGGTTTTAGAGGGTTATAGTCCATAATGGCAGAGCAAAGGCATGACAACCTTCCCCCCATGACACACTTCCTCCATAGGCTGCATGGCCTAATCCTTCTCACGTTTTTCTAACTGGGGACCAAGTATTCAAGCATGAGCCTACGGGGGCATTCTTATTCAAACCATCACATAGGTAGAAGTCCTACAACATTTCCACAATCAGACTTAAATCTCCCCACATATGCTCTTGTCATAACCATTTCTCTTATTAAAATAGAATAACACTTTCCCTTTATCTTAGGTTATTTATCTGTTCTTTCTCAGAAACTTTGATATGCTGTGTTCACTTTAGACCTTTACTGTTTCAAACATTCCTGTTCTTGGAGATAGGGGGAGGTTCTTTTCTCTGCGTCCTCTTTAGGTGTCACACTGTCTTTTTTCCTTTCACGGATGAACTTTGTGATGCTGTCTGTATTTGCTTTCTCCATTTCTTCATTCCATTAAAATGTCACTTGCCTGATGTTTTCCATGAACTAGAAATTGCTAAGTTTGCTTATAACCTTTTATTTCTTTCTCCTTAACTTTTAACTTCACAATCAGTCATCTTATGTGTGTGTGTGTTCACGTAAGCAGGCCAGATGTTGAAGTCAGGTGTCTTTAATCAGTATCTTATTTTTTTGAGACAAGGTGTCCTCTTAAACCTAGAGCTCACTGATTTTGCTAGGCTGATCAATGAACTCTAGGGATCTACTTGCCTGCCTCCCAAGTGGTAGGATCACAGATGGTTGCAGCTGCTCTGAGCTTTTTATGTGTACTGGGGATCTGAACTTAGGTCTTTATGCTTTCGTGGCAAGCACATTGGTGACTGAGCATCTCCTGATGCATCCCCAGCCCTGTCTTGTGCTTACCACGTGATCCACTATATTAGTGTTCCTTTTTCTCTTAATACTAAATAGTTTCACCTTTCTGTGCTGATTTTTTATGAGTTTCTTTTTATATAAGCACTGTTAGGGACTAAGTGTTTCAACTTTTAAGGTTTTTTTTTTCATGTCTATGAACAGAATATTTGAATAAGAATTTTATGTAGAATTATACCAGTATTGGTGGATTTGTATTTAGGAAATACTTCCCATAGCAAAAATACCAAGGCAAGTAAATTGCTTACTCATTTTTCTATGAAATGTAGCTTGTTTTTTTTGTTGTTGTTGTTGTTGTTTGTTTGATTTCATTGAAGTTAAACAGCACTAGTATTTCCTATGTAAATTTCACATAGGTGTTTAAGTAATTAAATTGCTGCTTTATGCACTTAAACTATTATTCCTTTTAAAGAAAATGTCTGACCTTTGTTTTTACCAGTTTCAGTAGTTTGGCTTTGCAGAATTTTATTTTCCCATTTACAATTTCATCTGCTGACTAGATTGTTTTGAATCGTAATTATTGCTGAATATGATTGAAAAAAACCCTAGTATGTTTGGTATACATGTTTTATCTAATTCATAAAATTGTGAATGTCACTTTTTTAGATTTATTATTTTATGCATATGAGTATTTTGTTTGCATGTATATAAGTGCACCATGTGCATGCCTGGTGCCTGCCGAGGCTAGAAAAATGCTTTGGATCCATAGTACTGAAACTACAGATGATTGTCAGCCACCATGGGAGTGCTGAAAATCAAACCTGGGTCCTCTGCAAGAGCAGTAAGTGCTCTTAACTGCTGAGCCATCTCTCCAGTCTGTTATCATTCCTTCTAATTTAGACTATAATCATTTTATCGTCTGGGATGAATTTACAGTGCTATTGATTCAAATATTTTGTATGTTTTTAAATATCACTGTATTTTACTTTTACAATACATTTATATGTTGTGAATTATGAATTGATAATGATAAAATTTGAAGCTTATAAATTCATGAACTGATTATTTTTCTTTTTTCAATTCTCTATCTTTGGTATTTCTGTTTTCAGGATCTTCTCTTAGAGATCTACAGAAGCATAGGAGAGCCAGACAGCCTGTATGGCTGTGGTGGAGGGAAAATGTTACAGCCCCTTACTAGGTGAATTGCACTTTTTAGATAGTAATTGTTCTTTTTGAAGTAGTTACATGCATACAAAAACAAAAGATGTTTTTATCATCTTTTCCTATAGAATACGGACTTACGAACATGAAGCAATGTGGGGAAAAGCCTTAGTAACATATGACCTTGAGACCGCAATCTCCTCCTCAACCCGCCAGTCAGGAATAATTCAGGTACACTTTTTTTCTGTATCTGCTCTGTAAAGCCATCATCAGGACAACTGCTAACATTATTTCAGCATATCAGTAAACTTTACACAGTCGGGTAAACTCTGGAGATAGGACTGGAGTTACTGCTTTCAGACATTAGGCTAAAGCCTCAGGGATACACGGGGAAACTGGACAGGACAGTGTAGTTTTGTTGATGAAGCTTTATTAGACAACAGCAGAAGACATTTCTTGAGTGTATACGCAGTACATGGGGAGATACTTAGTACTTAACATGGCATCTCTAGTGTGCAGTAGAGATGGTCCCAGAAACTGTTATTTCTATCACTGATTAATAAATATGTTGAGGTGTTTTCCACTAAAACATTAGCATCCTCTGAGGAAATACGATAAGCGATATTTTAGAATTTTAGGTGATAGTGTTGAGTACAACTTTTTACGTTAATTTTTGTTTGCTGCCCTCCCGTTCAGTGATTCTCAATCTGCAGGCCGCACACAGCCCTTTCATAGGGGGCTACATATCAGATATCCTGCATATCAGATGTTTATATTATGATTCATAACAGTAGCAAAATAAAAGTATAGTTGTCAAGGAGCAATGAAAATGATTTTATGGTTGGGGTCACCACAACCTGAGGAACTATTCTTAAAGGATCGCAGCATAGGAAGATTGAGAACCACTGCTGTAGTTTATGTTGAGGTATTTGATTATTTATTTTGTAATAACTTCCTTTTAGGCTTTGCAGAATTTGGGGCTCTCCCATGTTCTTTCCATCTATCTAAAAGGATTAGATCATGAAAACAGAGAGAGGGGTGCTGAACTGCAGGAACTTCATTATCAAGCAGCATGGAGGAATATGCAGTGGGACCTCTGCAGTTCTGCCACGTAAGAATAAATGGACTCTCTAAGCATTAGCCTTTCCCTAGTTACATTTTTGTCTGACTCTAAAATGTAATCTTTGATTTTTTTATTTATGAATATTAAGGTGTTCTTTTTATATTTTACTGCTATGATGGGCTACACATGTACCTAAATACTATACCTAAATAAGGTAGCAATAAGTAATTAAAACAGCAAAGCTTAAATTTTATTCTTCAGGCCGGGTTGTGGTAGCACATGCCTTTAATCCCAGTACTTAGAATCCCAATACTTAGGAGGCAGAGGCAGGTGGATGTGGATCTCTGTGAGTTCAAGGCCAGCCTGGTCTACAGAGTTAGTTCTAGGATAGCCAAGGCTACACAAAGAAACCCTGTCTCAAAAAAAAAAAAAATTCTCTTCTTTCCACAAGATAAATTCTGTTCCCTGCCTCAAGCATTTTTGAAGATAAAAATTTTTATTTTATTATTTATCTATTTGTTTCTTTTTTGGTTTTTCGAGACTTGGCTTCTCTGTGTAGCTTTGGAGCTCATCCTTAAACTCTGTAGACCAGGCTGGCCTCATAGTCACAGAGATCTGCCTGCCTCTGTCTCCCAAGTGCTGGGATTAAAGGTGTGTGCCATCACCACCTGGCTCACAAGTAGAAATTTTAAAGGGGTCTTCTCCTATGAGAATACTGTTTGTTAGACTGAGGAATAATTTTAGTTTTCAATTTTATTCTTTCAGTTAGTCATTTAATCATCCATATGTTAGGATTTTCTGTTTTTAAATTTGTTTTTTAATGCCGCAGCCAAGAACTAGAAGGAGCCAGTTACCATGAATCATTGTATAATGCTCTGCAGTCTCTAAGAAACAGAGAATTCTCCACATTTTATGAAAGTCTCAGATATGCCAGGTATCATAAAAAGCCAAGATTATTTTTACATTTAATGCCGTGACGGTTGTCCTCACAATGTGAGTAGTTCTGATGTGAGTATTTGCGTCGATGAAGGGATGAAAATGTGGTGGCTGTGATTGGTTGTTTCCTTGCCATTCTTTGCTCTCTCTCAAGAAAGGCTTTTCTTCCCCCAGAACTCTCTGTCCCTTCTTCACTCTGAGCCCTCAGGAAGATCGTGATAGTGTTCTCTTCCTGTACAAGATTCCTAAAAGTTTTCAATCTTTGTCCTCTCTAGTTACATGGCTGCACTCTCTTACCGTTGCATCTCTGCTTCATAAGATGATGAGCAATAGTACTTCTGGGTTGCTTTGAGTCACACATGAGATGACACATGATGTAACAGTTAGCTATAACAAGTTAAAATAAATGTTTTAGCACTAACCACTGATATTATAAATCCAAATATATGGCAAATAATATTTTTTACCCTTAAAGTGATTATATTAGGAATACATAGAGTCTGAATCAAAAACCAGGGAGCGTGCATTGGACTGACATATATAATGCAGTTGTGTGACTCGGTCCTCTTGTGAGTCTCCTAACTATGGGAACAGGGGTGATCTCTGATTCTTTTATTGGCTTTTAGGATCCTGCTCCTCATACTTTTCCCAGCCTTAATACATGGGGAGGTGCTTAGTCTTACTGCAACCTTATATGACATGTTTTGTTGATATCTATAGGAGATCTACCCTTTCCTGAACAGGGATGGAGGAAAAATGGATTGAGGGGGATGGGAGCAAAAGGAGGGTAGGGGGACAGACTAAGAGGAGAGGAGGGAGTAGAAAATGGTCAGTATGTAAAATAAATGCATTAAGAATAAATAAATATATAAAATCTAGACACTTTGTCAGGCTCTTTCTACACACATTCTTTAAAGTAACTTCAAAGGTGAAAAACAATGGCGGTGGCAGAATTGAGTAGCAGATTCACGGGTAGACAGACATGGCAGAACTGGGCTTTCAGTTTAGAACTGGGTGATCCTAAAACTAGTGTTGGTCACATTGCTGTGTCATCATCACTGTTTGTGTGTGTTAGATCAACAGCAAGCATATGCTAAATATGAATAGAATTTCTGTACATTAAAACTTGTGAATTTCAGACTCTTCTCTCTTTTACCCCTAGATTGAAAGAAGTTGAAGAGTTGTGTAAGGGCAGCCTTGAATCTGTGTACTCGCTGTATCCCACACTTAGTAGATTGCAGGCACTTGGAGAACTGGAAAACATTGGGGAGATTTTCTCAAGGTGTGTGGTTCATAGGTTTGGATAAGCCTGAAGTACATTGTGTTACTGTAGTAACATATGATGGATGGGCATGTTTATTTGTTTAGTTACGTGAGGAAAGGTTTATTTTGGATCATGGTTTTCAAAGATTTCAACCCATTATTAGCTACTTCCATGCTGGCCTGGATGAAGCATTATGTTGATGGCAGACAACAGGACAAAAAGGAGAGAATTATTATAAAATAAACTTGATAGATGTCATCTGTGAACCAGGAAGTGACCTCAGCATACTCACCATCTGACACACTGTGTTATCATTTAAATTTATTAGTATATGTAATAAATACAATTTAGATTTTTCTAAGATGAGAAATGTAATGCTAACAGGTATAACTTAAGAATTGAAATTGAAAGCTCTTCAGAATCTTCATTAATTTTTTTTTTTTTTCTTTTTTGGTTTTTCGAGACAGGGCTTCTCTGTGGCTTTTTTGGAGCCTGTCCTGGAACTAGCTCTGTAGACCGGGCTGGTCTCGAACTCACAGAGATCCGCCTGCCTCTGCCTCCCGAGTGCTGGGATTAAAGGCGTGCACCACCATCGCCTGGCAGAATCTTCATTAATTTTAAGAGTATGTAGAGGTTCCTATGCTTAAAATGTTTTAGGTCTATGATTAAAATGTTTAGGTCTGTTACTCTGGGGTCATTTGTGAAGGAAGTAGCAGTTTGGTTTTTATGTACATGCATTATTACGTGCATTACTGTTTCCTTCTCTGTCAGGCAACTAGAATGATTCCTCACATTTGCTTCATCGTTTTCTTAGTCTCCCTGTCAACACAAGTCTTGAAAGATAAGATCGTATTTCTTACTTTATGCCTGTGAAAGGCAATGTATTCATATTAATGAACTGTATATTCTGCATTTTCTTTTGCTTTAATGATGTAAGCGGATGGAATCTTTTTAAATGCCAGCTGTTTCTTCTGTGAACTGATTCTTTGATATTTATAGGTAATTAATGGAGTTAGTTGATTTCCTTGAGGATGTGTCCTCCTTTGCTGCATGGAGGACTAGAGGAGTCTGATTCTTTATATGTCTGATTACAGCATTCCCATTTCAAAACAAAATCTGTTTAGAAAGGCTGCCTTTTTAGAAAATCTTTTTTAAGTACCCATTATCTATAACCTTTCTATTGACCTCTGACTACATAGTTACAGGTCTAAATATTTAAGGCTATTTCTAACTTCTAATCTTGCTACTATGAAAGTTCCTATACAGTGTTTTAAGTTTCAGAACCTGAGGGCCCTTTCCTTTTAATTTCTTTTACTCACATAAGTTATGTGACTTGATTTCCAGGTCAGTCACAGATAGAGATCTCTCTGAAGTGTATTTGAAGTGGCAGAAACACTCCCAGCTTCTGAAGGACAGTGACTTTAGTTTTCAGGAGCCTCTTATGGCTCTACGCACAGTCATTCTGGAGATCCTGGCGCAAAAGGAAATGGAGAACTCCCATGGAGGGTGCTGTAAGGACATTCTCACCAAACACCTTGTAGAATTCTCTGTTCTGGCCCGAACCTTCAAGAACACCCAGGTAAAAAAAAAAAAAAAAAAAGAAAAGAAAAGATACCAGAAGGTATAATAATGTAAAGAAGAAATGTCATTGAAAACTAGAAATCACTACTGTGTATAAAATTACTTAAGATTTCATGTTGAGCCAGACCTGTTATAATCCTGCTATTGTAGGGGGTGAGGTAAGAATATCACAAGTTCAGAACCTACCTGGGCAAGGGAATGAGTGCAAGGTCAGCTTGAATAACCTAGTGGGACCTGTCTTAAATGCACATTGAAAAAAAGGGATAGGACTATAGTTGTGTGGAATCATGCTTATTTGACTAGTATGTGGAATTAAACTCCAATATTAAGGGGAAAACCAAAACAAAACTTCTATATTGGAATTAGACAAAAACCTGAACTCTGCCCCAATTCCTGGTTATAAAATGAAGATACCCAACTTCTTGTAAGATAAAGGTAACAAAACAATGGTTTCACATACTTATACATGCATGAGCTGTGTGTCAGGGAAATTCTCTGGTCTGCAGGTTGGTAAGTAAGCAGGGAGCTCATAAAGATAGTCCCTGACCAAAAGTGAAGTTCTTGGTGAATGGTAATTGCTTCTTTGGTTTTTAATCTTAGTGGTAAAAGTATTTATCTCCTTATGCTATTTTCATTGCAGCTCCCTGAAAGAGCAATATTTAAAATTAAACAATATAATTCAGCTATTTGTGGAGTCTCTGAGTGGCATTTGGAAGAAGCACAAGTGTTCTGGGCAAAAAAGGAGCAGGGTCTTGCCCTGAATATTCTCAAACAAATGATCAAGAAGTTGGACTGCAGCTTTAAAAAGGTATGTGCTTGGTTTAGTTGGCTGGTTTAGTGTTTTCATGTTATTGAAAAGCATTTCTGTGCTTCAGAATATGATTAAGGTTTTGAAATTACTGACCCATGAACAAGATATTATGAAAAAGTATTTTGAAAATTAATGTCAGATATGAAACTAGGAAACTTTTTCTTATTTAAAGCGAATCTATCCGTGTTGTAGTATATTCATTTAATTGATCCCAGTGCAAAGTCTTTCAGATTTCTATAGAAGTCAAGAATGATATAGAGGAAATAAATGGAAATACATATTATAACTTTGAAGTAGCAAGAACAAAAATGGAATTAGAAACGTCTGAGAGAAGAAAAGTAGAAAACAAGTTAGAACAATTTGTCATTCTAAGTGCTCTGAAAATATCATATTCAGTAGACAGTTCAGGGTTTTGTAGGGCCATGAATTATTTATTATAACAAAATACTGGGTGCCAGTACAACTTGCTTAAATATTCCATAGGGTACAGGCCCTAAAGTATGGGCTATTTGTATATTCAGTTTTTGCATTGTCAAGTAAGTAATAATGATATACCTAGTTAGTTCATAGGATTCCTGTGACAATCATAAGTTAAGCTGGGCAGTGGTAGCACACGCCTTAAAATTCCAGAACTCAGAAGGCAGAAGCAGGCGAATCTCTGTGAGTTCGAGACCAGCCTGGTCTATAAGAACTAGTTCTAGGACAGGTTCCAAAGCTACAGAGAAACCCTGTCTCAAAAAAAAAAGGAAAGAAAGAAAGAATATCATAAGTTAATATACACAAATCTGTTGCAAGGTTTCTGGCATTCTTAAGTAAATGTGAGTTGTTCTGTTGATGAAGATGATATATCAGAGTGGTTATTTCATGAACTTGCATACTTTACTTATTTTAATAGCTATATGGTAAAAACATTAAGAAAAATATTTCTGAGTGCTTTTTCTACCTATATGGAGGACATTTTTTGTAATTTTGAAAAGGAATGACATTTTAAGATTTTTACGTCTTAATACAGAATGATGCAGGTCTAAAAGTCATATATGCTGAGTGTCTGAGGGTTTGTGGCAACTGGCTGGCGGAAACCTGCTTGGAAAATCCTGCAGTCATCATGCAGACCTACCTAGAAAAGGTAGGTTGTTGGTGCAACTCTGAAGATTGAGGTTTAGCATAAGTACACTTGATCCTAAGCAAATGCAAGTGTAGTTTCACGCCTCAGTTCCTGCTGGGGATCTGTAATCCTTAGAGCAGAATGAAACAGAATGCTACAAAAGAGGGAACAACTTTAAATACATGTGTGTCTTTCATCTACTCTTTAGAACCACCCCTAACTACTCTTTGAAGAATTTATTTTATCTTGCAAACTATCCTATTAGATAACCCACAAGCTGTCATTGTTATTTGTATGTGGTTCAGCTACCCAAAATAAGGGTTAGGTTTTTTTTTTTTAATTAATTTTTTTTTAAATTTTACATTCCAACCCCAGTTTCCTCTCTCTACCCTTCTCCCACCTCCCGCTCCCCCGACCCCCACCATCCCCTCTTCAGAAGGGATAAAGCCTCCCATGGGGAGTCACCAAAGTCTGGATACCACGTTGAGATAAGACCAAGCCCCTTCCCCCTCCCCTCCCAATCAGACTGGGCAAGGTATAGGATTGCCCTTCTAGTCCTCGTTGAACTTACTATTTCTCCCTTTTTACCCTTGTCACTAATTTGGGAAATAGTTATTTCACTCAGTCAGTTTAATATGAAAAGTGAAATGTAATTGTCACTGATACTAAAGAGCTCTTCATTTCACACAGTTCATTGCATCTCTTAGCTGATAAGGGTTCCAGGTCATCAAGTTTGCCATTTACGTATACATAAGTGATTTACCTTGGTTTGAGTAATTCTTTAGTTTTGTTTAACACTTGTAAATATGAACTAAGCAGATTGTATGTTGTTGAAGGCAGTGAAAGTTGCTGGAAGTTATGATGGCGAAAGCAGTGAGCTCAGAAATGAACAGATGAAGGCATTTCTCTCATTAGCACGTTTCTCCGATACTCAGTACCAGAGAATTGAAAACTACATGAACTCATCAGAATTTGAAAACAAGCAAGCTCTCTTAAAAAGAGCCAAAGAAGAAGTGGGCCTTCTAAGGGAACATAAAATTCAGACTAACAGGTAATATGTCTACAAGCGGTGGTATTGTGTTCATCTAAAGGAGAATTTTCATGAGAAATGTGACTCGAACTTGTCATCTAAATTACAGTTTTGAACACATAAATTGGCTGTTTTTACAGACTTTCTCAGTAGTTACAGCTTCAATCAGTCTTCAGTACACTGACAGATGCTCTTCTCTGAAGAACTGATATCTTGGTTTAGCTCTTGGCAGAGTACGTGAATGTTAGTTGTTTGGTTTTCCTAGGTACTGAAATTAAGTACAGAAGCCTTGCCTGCTTTGGCATTGTCAAGTTCCTTTAAGTCTGCATTGGGTTTTGTATGTTTGGAATAAGCAGAGAATTAACTATAGAATCCACTCTGTTCTTGGGTGTATGGAATACTTTTATAGGTTGCAGTCGTGACATTTAGTTCCTTTCACTATCCTTAGAATTTTTTTCCTTGGGAATAAACACCTTGTTTTTCATTTATGTTGTATGACATGTATGATTTTATAGTTATGTAAAGTTTTGTGACTTTTATGTACGAATTTATCAAATGCAAGATACACAGTAAAGGTTCAGAGAGAGCTGGAGCTAGATGAGTGTGCTCTCCGTGCACTGAGAGAAGACCGGAAGCGCTTCCTGTGTAAGGCAGTTGAGAACTACATCAGCTGCTTGCTGTGTGGAGAAGAGCATGATGTGTGGGTATTCCGGCTTTGCTCCCTCTGGCTTGAAAATTCTGGAGTTGCTGAAGTCAATGGCATGATGAAGGCAAGTCTTACTCAACTTCAAAGTCAGATTTGAGCATCTGCTTTAAAAACTAAGGCATAAGCCCCTTCAGTATCTGGTTTTGTACATCCCTGTGTTCCCTAGCAGTAGGTTTGGTGCTCCGAGAATAAGTATAAGCTCTAAATGATGCAGGTTTGTGTAGGGGTGAGAGATTTATCCTTGCAGATATCATATGGGAGTGCCTCGAAGGGAATGCTAGATGGGGGAATAGAAAAACTATTAAAGGTAGTATGATCCTAAGCAAGAATTTTCCTTTTTCTTTTTTTTTAAAATACGTTTAAGGGATTTTTTTTCCCCAATAGAGTGCTTTTACAAATAAAGAACTTTTATAATATATGCAAGAATACTTTCTAAGTTTTTATTGAAAAAAATCTTAAGATATGGTTATAAAATATTGTCATTCAGTTTGAAGGCAAAATGTTTCTCTGGAATGAAAAGAATAATAAAACTCAGGGTTAAGTAGAGCCAGTCTGTACTACTGTGTGTATTTAACTTCATTATTTCTGGCATATAGGAAAAAGAACTTGCATTTTGGTTATACACTGACTTCTTGGGAATGGAGAGCATAGTAGGACTTGGGTCCACATTTGTGTTCCTCGGAGTTACTAGAATGTATGCAGTGGTTAGCATTCCAGCTCTGGATGCAACTTAATTTATTAAAATTTATTAAAAACTTAAAGTATTTTATTATCACTGAATCAAGGCTTCCTAGGCTTTGTTAGAAAGACTTTGAGACAGGCCAAGAGACAAGGGAAATTGTGTAGTTAGTGAAGTTTTGATAGCCACTAGGTTGTGCTAGTAGGGGAACATTATTTTACTATCATCATTTTGGCTTAGATATGAGGTTATATTACACATGTCTTAATCTTGCTTTTTTTTTAATGACAGAGAGATGGAATGAAGATTTCATCATATAAATTTTTGCCCCTTATGTATCAATTGGCTGCTAGAATGGGAACCAAAATGATGGGAGGCCTAGGATTTCATGAAGTCCTCAATAATGTAAGTAGACTTGAAGTCAAAGTGTAATAATTACCTTTCTTTTATATTACTGAATAAAATATAAAGGAAAGTGAGAAATCAGAATGTAGTAAGAGGAGCGGGCTGTGTCCTGCCACCCGGCTAGCTTAATCCCCGAAATAACCACATAGAAATTGTATTAATTAAAACACTGCCTGGCCCATTAGCTCTAGTCTCTTACTGGCTAACTCTCACATTTTGATCTAACCCATTTCTAATAATCTATGTAGCACCATGAGGTCGTGGCTTACCGGGAAAGATTCTAACCTACATCCATCTTGGGGCAGAGCTTCATGGCGTCTGCCACACTTCCCTTCTTCCCAGCATTCTGTTCTGTCTACTCTGCCCACTTAAGGGTTGCCCTATTAAAAGGCCAAGGCAGACTCTTTATTCAACCAATTAAAGCAACACACAAACAGAAGAACCTCCTACACCATTAGAACATTAAATTGTTTTCTTTTATTACAGATAAATTTGTCTCTTTTATTTCTCATGTTCCTCCCTAGTTCTCTTTCACATAGACATGTACTACTTACTGCACAGTAGTGACATAATTTGAATTTATAAAAAGCAAAATTTAAAATGTATATTTAATTTTTTTCTATTGGGTAAAACTAATAGTTGTTAATTTTCTGATAGCTGATCTCTAGGATTTCAATGGATCACCCCCATCATACTCTGTTCATTATATTGGCTTTAGCAAATGCAAACAAAGATGAAATTTTGAGCAAACCAGAGGCAGCAAGAAGGAGTAGAATAACCAAAAATGCACCAAAAGAAAGCTCTCAGCTTGATGAGGTATTCGGATTAAATATAAGTGCCCTTTGTGTTGTCGTGGTTGTTTTTTCTCAGAATGTTCCTTTCTTAATTCTCAGATTTTAGGAATGTGTGTTGCTGGTAGTAGATTCTAAATACTTTATTATGATGATGCCATTCAAAATTTGTTAACAATCCCTGAACATTTTCCAGAGCATAAATACTGGCTTAGTTTTGTTTTCTTGTAGTAATAGACAAAGAAAATCCAGATTTTAAAATAGATTTATTTTTAATACATGTGTTTGCATGTATGTATCTTGTGCTCACAGAAGCCAAGAGGTTTTTTTTTGTTTGTTTGTTTGTTTTTTTGTTTTTCGAGATCGAGTTTCTCTGTGGTTTTGGAGCCTGTCCTGGAACTAGCTCTTGTAGACCAGGCTGGTCTCGAACTCACAGAGATCCGCCTGCCTCTACCTCCCAAGTGCTGGGATTAAAGGCGTGTGCCACCACCGCCTGTCCAAGAGGCTTTTTAATTCCCTAGACCTAGAATTGCCATGTGCATGCTGGAAACTGAACTTGGGTCCTCTGAAAGAGCAGCGGGCGCTCTTTAACCATCAGACCATCTCTCTAGATTCAGAAAAACAGATTTTTTGAAAAGTACACAAGTCTTAACCTTGGATTTTATGTGTGTATGTCATTCACTGTATGGGTGTTTTGTTTATATCTGAGGAATTATAGTCCTTCCATTGTCTAGATATAAATTCTCTTTTTGTAGCTCCAAGAAGCTTAGTTCAGTGGATCTCGTTCTGTCTTTCTTTGTTCCTTGTTGATGATGATAGGATCGAACAGAGGCTGCAACCAGGATAATCCATACCATCAGAAGTGAGAGGTGTAAGATGGTGAAGGACATGGAGGCACTCTGTGATGCATACATTATTTTGGCAAACTTGGATGCCTCTCAGTGGAGGAACCAGAGAAGTATGTCTGAAAGTGTTGTTGCTGCTATTGTTACAGCTTGACCTTCAGTGATACTCCTCAGTTTACTGTTGTCACTAAACTCTTTATTTTTAAATATAGAAGGCATCAATATTCCAGCAAACCAGCCAATCACTAAACTGAAGAATTTAGAAGATGTTGTTGTTCCCACTATGGAAATTAAGGTAATTTACCATTAAATCTTGATTTTTAATAAGACTAAATTACCCATTAGTAGATTAAATTATCTGTAGACCTTTTTATGTAGTCCAAATGGCTAGTCATTGCAGTTTCATGTGTTTCCACCTAGATATTGTCTGTGTTAGATTTCCTTTCCCTAAGCCTTAAAATGGTCACAAGCTTCTGAGAATTCCCATTGTTTTACTATTACTTTAGCACTAAGGACTAAACCTTTTTATACTAAGCTTTTTTATACTTTTAATTTTGAGACAGGGTCTCACTGAGTTGACCTAGAACCTGCTCTGTAATTTAGGCAAGCCTGAAACTTCACAGCCCTCCTTGTCTCAGTTTCCTTAGTACCTGGGAATGTACAATGGGACTGTAGGCCCATGGCCCATTCAATTTGTTTCACTTTATTTTGCTCCACTTTTTTCAAGTATGTACATGCTTGCATGGGGGTAGGGGAACATGGTGCTCGTGGTAAGGAAGCACTTTACCAGTTATTTTGTTTTTTAATAATTCTTTATACAGTGGAAATATTGGTTGTGATGTATTATTTAATAGAACAACAGTATTACAATACGACAGTACTTTTAAATTGCTGTGTGTACATACTAAATTTAGCTATTCACAGTGGTCTTTTATTACTAGAAGTACCATGTAGACAGGATGCATGTAACAGTTAAGGTTACTATTTTACAAACTGATGTTGTGAGTTTATATATTAAAATTAGTATCTTTGTTACTGAATCTGACCTGCTACTGAATTATATTTGTTAACTGATTGAGGCTCTGTTGTTTAACTGAATATTTTCACTTTTCAAAATTAACCTGATGTTTTTGTGAATTAAATAATTTCTTAGATGATTTAATAGATGTACATAACAACTGAGTTCTAATTTTTCAGTAATTTTTCAGCAACCCTATTCTAATTGACTTGAAATGCTGAAGTTTTATTAAAAGATGTTTAAGAAAGTAAACTAAATTTTAAAAATCTGGGTTGGCAGGATGGCTCACCATGTAAAGACATTTGTTGCCAAGCCTGTAAACAAAGCTCAACCCTGGGACCATCATGGTGGCACACACAAATGTAGACTCACACAAAAAGTAAATAAGCAAATGAAATAAAAACCTACCAATGTCATTTATTCTGACTTTAAACAAAGTAAGTTAAAGATCCAGTTATTAACCAGCAGTATGTTCTTATCTGTTTTTTCGCTCATTATTTATGATTTGTTTTTCTTCAGTGTTCAGTGTTTATCTCTCCTATACTAATTATGTGTCATTTTTTAGGTTGATCCCACGGGAGAGTATGAAAATCTGGTGACTATAAAATCATTTAAAACAGAATTTCGTTTAGCAGGAGGTTTAAATTTACCAAAAATAATAGATTGTGTGGGTTCTGACGGCAAGGAAAGGAGACAGCTTGTCAAGGTGAGATTTCCTGTTTCTGGTATAGTCCTTTGCGTGTTAATGACATCAAAGTCAAGAACAATTTGAGTAGATGTTGTCTTCTTCCCTCATTTGCTGGCTATGTGACTCTAGCTTTATCCTGAATAATGACAGGTAGGAAACATCTGTGAAGTAGACATACAGTTTGCTAGAACCAGACTGCTTTTTTATTGTGTGTCTTTCTTGAAGGACTATCAGAGAAAGTCTTTCCTGATATTGTGGATTAAAACCAGGGCCTTGCTCATGCTCAACAATTCTCTGCTTGTGAGTTACATCGCAGCTCTTTTTTAGGTGTTATTTGAAATAGATCTTGTTAAGATGACTGGGCTGGGCTTGACTTTGGGACCATCTCAATTCAACTTCTGGAGAACTTGAAATTGTAGGTCAGCACTACTGGGTTTAGCATACTATCGTTGATTCAGGAGAAAGAATGTTACCAAAGTATATACACACCATGAGCTATTTTCTGATAAAAGCTTTTGGTGGTAATTAGAACAGATTTAAGGCCCTTGCTTAATATACTGGGCCTGGTACTGTGCCATCTGCTACTGTACTGGAAAGTGACAGCATTCCTTGCTTTGTTCTGCTTGCGGAGGTGCTTTTGAGGTCCTGCTGAAGATAGAAAAGAGATGAGATATTACTTTATCTGGTTGTTTTGTTTGTGCCTTCAGGTGAGGGAGTTCAGTTAATAATGAAGCAGGAGAAACTTAGTCTTTTGTATTAGTTTGCTTCCCAGTTTCATAGTTTTTTCTAAATGAAAGAATCACAGTAGCTATTAATTATTCAAGAGACTCTGAAACGGAGCATACCTCAGATTGATTTCTGAGGGCCTTGTACTGCTGTTCTTAGATGACTGTGTACTTATAGTACCTGTTTATGTCTGGTTGTTCTGAAGGGCCGTGATGACCTCAGGCAAGATGCTGTCATGCAGCAGGTTTTCCAGATGTGCAATACACTACTGCAGAGAAACACTGAGACTAGAAAGAGGAAACTGACTATCTGCACATACAAGGTAACTTACTGGCTTCTATTCTGGTGTTTCATCAAGTAAAGTGTACTATTTGTACCAAGGATGATCAAGTGTTTTCTGTAAATTAACAAATACTGAATATTTTAGACTTTGAGAGCCACTTAGGTCCCTTGCATTTTAAATCTGTAAAGCCATTCTTTGCTTGCATGCTGTACAGAAATAGATTGATGCTGTTATTTTCTTTAGAGGCCATTGATTGCCACTCTCTGGTTGGACAATACAATTTTCATTATCATTTAAAGTTATTTGCCATTAGATATTTCCTGTAGTCAACTTAAATATTCTGTCTGCCTTTATTGTAATGAACTATAGGGAGTTTGCTGTTGTTTGTATGTATACCGTTTATTAGGTCATGGTTTCATTCATACCCAGGTCAGTCTATTGGAAAGATTTCCAAAATTTGGATTAATAGGTGATTGGACACATGCAACTATAATTTGGTAGATTTTGCTAGAGGACAGTCGGTGGAGTTAGACCCATTTCCATTTCCTTCACAGTAGAAATCTTCAAATCATGTTATTCTATTAGCTATCTTTGGCTCCTTAATTAACTCTTAATTAGTTAATATAAGAACCAACTATTTTAATTAATTAATAAACATAAGAGATAAAATTCCATAGGTGTGTCCTTCTCTGGCTTTGTTCCCAGGTCTCACCCCCCTCTCCGTCCTCTGTCACTGCTGTAACAAGACTTTACTGCTGCTGCCTTTTCCTTTTCCCAGGAAGATATGAACAAACTAAAAAGCATTTAATTCATCTTGTAGTCGAGAACCAGTTCTTTCCAGACAGTCTAACTATCTCTCTCTTTTATTTTCAGAAGGGTAGATTCTATAACTATTTTCTCTAGAAATTTAAGTATTTTATCAGGAGCTAACCTAAACATTAATACTTGTTTGAAAATACAGTGGAAAAATGTTCCCTTCACAAGTTAAAGAGTAACATTAAACTCACTTCAGCAGCACATATACTAAAATTGGAACAATTCAGATAAAATTAACATAGTTCCTGCGCAAGAAGGAAAATAAGAGTAACTGCCTAGCAGTGGCATTAACAAAAGAAATACAGGAATGGGTTAAAAAAAATTAGGAAAGCATGAAATGTAAAGGAAAGCTGAGGTATATCTTAAGTGGAATGGCATTGAAAAATATCAGCTTATTTCAAAATAATTTTTGATAGTAAAATTTCAATAAGGCATTTTGTAAGTAGTGTTGAATGCTTGCCTAGCACATATATTGCTCAGGGTTCTATCTCCAGCACTGGGGTGGGGTGTAGATGGGGGTGGAGGAAATCAGTAAAACTGAATAAGCCTTAAAATATTTTCAGGTATACATTTCTAAAAGCCCAGTGTAGATGCTACCAACTCAGTTACATTCCCAGTCCAACAGATGTTTTAAAGACTAATTCTCAAGTAGTGCTTAAAACAAAAGTTACGGTTCCGTGAAAGCTTTTTATTTTTAGATTTATTTTATGTATATGAGTGTTTTCCTCACATACGTGTCTGTGCACCACATTGTGTGTGGTGTCCTCCGAGGTCAGATGAGCTGCCATATAGGCACTGGAAACTGAACCCAGGTTCTCTGCAAGAACAAGTGCTCTTAATTTCTCTCTCCGCTTCCCTTTCTCTCTCCACCCCTACCCCATCAGTATATGTGTTTGAGACTAGGTCTCCTGTAACTCAGACTCAGAGTGTGTTTGGGGCTGATGTCCTAGTGTGCTTGGGCTTTTGAAGCCAGTCAAGTTGCTAGAAAAATTTACATATGGATTGTGTCCCTCTGCTTTTTGGAAATCTAACCTGCTTTCAATGACTCCCTGTTTGTCCTTCATTTGATCTCTAAAGATAGATTGTCACCTAGCTAGTAACCATTTGGAAGGACTACTTCCTGTGAGGTTATTTGCATCTCAAACACAATAAATGTAAAGTAGAACTCTTTAGTTAACCGTCTTCATTTTCAAAGTAACCCTTTCTTCCTGACTCAGCTAAAGGTACTGCTTTCAGGCATAGTAAAGCTCAGACACTGTATTTTATTTTACGGAAATTTAATATATGGGCCTGGGGAGATGTTTCAGTGAGTAAAGTGCTTCCCTTGCAAGCATGACGACCTAAGCTGGAACTAAAGGGTTCCTCAGGACACAAAACAAAGTATTTCTACATATCTAAATATAGTAAAAGAAAAAAATATTTAGAATTAAAGATACCATAAAAACAGGGGATCCATAAAGAAAGTGAATTTTAATATTATAATAAGAAATTTACATGTAGACTATATCAATACCTCTTACAGGGAATTTAAAGGTTGTCATTAGAAAAAGATAGAAAAGAACAGAATTCATAAGTAAAAAGTTGTATGGCCTATAAATTTATCATATGATATTCTGTTAGTCATCTGAAAAATACAGACTAAAACCCACAGTGTGCTACAGTTAGCATGAAAGTGGCAAAATGTAAAAAATCAGACAAATGTGTTGGAAAAACTCAGTAACAACTTTCTTGGTAAGTCTATAAATTGCAACAGTCAACTTGGATAGTTACTTCATTAAGTTAAAGATAGTACATTCCCTGTAACCCTGTTATATTTTTACCCGTGGTCTATCACTGCAGCAGTATTTCAGGGAAAATTGTGGGGGTCTCCACCAACGCTATGGCCAGCAGAGGCAAGAAGTCAGCTTCAGCACAACTCAGTAGCTGGTGTTGGTCAAACTTCCAGAGTCTGACACTCAGTAGTTTACTTTAGGCATATTTAAGCACAGCACAAGTTGGTAAAAAAATTTCCCAGTGATAATTAACTCAGTCCCATGTGCACAATAAAGGTTAAGACATGACTACATCAAAACTCCTATAAAGTACAAGTGACATAAAGATAGGTTCCATATATTAACTGAGAGCAGACTCAAGGTCGTCATTGCTCATGATGGGGGTCTAGGGGAGGATAATGCTATAAATTAGCCAAGATAAGCTCAGGGTAAGGGTTTAGAGAGCTGGTATGTCCTGGCCATACAGATAGCACAGAGTTCACCAGGCTGTTATCTGTCTCTGCTCCCAGTCTTCTGAGCAGAAAACAGGTTATACAGCTCTCCCTTGGAAGAGACGAAGATTTTTCTAGTTCTCATCTGTGAGCACAAGGACCTACATGTCTCCTTCAGGAAATAAGAAAACAATACCAACCAATATAAATGTTGAAATGCAAGCTGGATAAATTGGACAGGTGTGTGTGTGTGTGTGTGTGTGTGTTACCATAAAGTTATGAACTTAATGATAGTTAAGTATATTAACAAAGCCAAACATGAGAATATCAAGTGAGAAAAACCACATTGTATAAGCTGACACACATATTTTTTTTTTTAAGTTTGCAGCTCTCTTGTCTTCTGGCACGCATGCCCCCAGTAATAATTAATTAATTTGTGAAATAATGTTGGCAGGTATTTGTACATAAATAGCTTTGAAAATAAAACACCAAAAATGCATGAATGTGGAAAAGCAGTAGCAAGCATTGTGATGGTGGGAGGAGGCGTGAACACAGCAAGAGGCACAAAATAAGCTTCACTTCTTCCCTGCAAATTTGACAAACTCTTAGATTTGGTAAAGTGGTTTAATGTATAAAATAGTATTTGTTTCTTATTTTTTTTTTTTTTTAAATATTTATTTATTTATTATGTATACAATATTCTGTGTGCATGCCCGAAGACCAGAAGAGGGCGCCAGACCTCTTTACAGATGGCTGTGAGCCACCATGTGGTTGCTGGGAATTGAACTCAGGCAACACTCTTAACCACTGAGCCATCTCTCCAGCCCTGACTCCAGGTTTTTATTATTAAGACCGATTAGAATTCATGCCACACATCTTCTTAAAGTGTCAATTACAATTCTTGTTTCTGCATCTGATCATGTGACCCTAGCTGATATTTATAGCTACCTTCCTCTACTACTTATTCTGTAATTTCTCCACCCTCAGCAAGCACCTCAACCGGTCCCAGGTCTTTTCCTGCAAAAGTGACTCATATCCTCAACCCTAGAGTGTCATGGCCCTTTGTCATCCTTCCTGGTATAGGCTATTGTAATTTTCCTATTTGTTTCTTATTAATTTTACATTTGTATGTTTATAAAATACCATGATTTTAAAAACAACTATCTCAGTAAAAGTTTTCATTTTTGTTTAGAAGTATATTTTTCTCTTCTTAAAATAAATAAGACTATAAAAAAATACAGTATAATTAAATAATGAAAGTATGTTAAATTGAGGCCACAGTCACAAGTAATTATTTTCCTAGGTGAAATGTCCTAAGTGTCCTGGGTAACAAAAGTGTAAGGGAAGTAGTGGGTGCAGTGGTGCATACCTATAATTCCAGCTACTCCAGAGGCTGAGGCAGGAGCATTGCAAGTTCAAGGGTCCTGGGCTACATAACTACCCTGTTTCAGAAACAAAGCATAATTGGAGCATTCTCTACTAAATGAACAAATTAGTTATGGACCAATCACAGATAATGAGTGTCACTAATACGGATGATATCTCGGAGAGTTGTGGGTACTGAGGGATGGGTAGCTTCTCTTAAGTCTAAGCAGAAGCTAGAAAGGTCTTCATTTCTGTGCCTTGTTATTTCTTGCTTTCCTCCCAAGATGTTAATAAATTCTGGGAGATACTTTGCACTACTGATGATGAATGGCCATCCACGGGTCTTTGATGTCTTTCTGTAATCTGTGTATTTGATTTCACCTCAGGTGGTTCCCCTCTCCCAGCGAAGCGGTGTTCTTGAGTGGTGCACAGGAACCATCCCTATCGGTGAATATCTCATCAACAATGATGAAGGTGCTCATAAAAGATACAGGCCAAATGATTTCAGTGCCTCTCAGTGCCAAAAGAAAATGATGGTGAGTTGAAAGGTTATTTAGTAGTTTATAAAAATATATAAAGCTACCAAATATTGCAAAAATACAATATATAACTTCATGAGATAATTGTTGAAGCTAGTATTTAGTTTACGAGATGTAAACTCACCAAGATGAATGCGGAAGTGACATAGGGAGGTCTTTACACAATATGAAGTGCCAGCTCTGTCATCTTAAAAATATAAACATTGTCCAGTTTGTACTAGTTTGTTTCCAGTTTGTGATAAGGTGATTCTTAATAAAACAAACAAAATGCCATTTTTACATGAAACAAGTTTCTGAAATAATTTCCATGCCATTGGCTGTCTGGTTTGGCTTTTACTTGCTGTTTTAGCAGCACTTATTGAATAAATGCCTCTTGTCAACCAGGTACTAAGCTAAGACTTCACAAATTTGACAGTTATTCTTATCCCTACCAAAGTGAGATTAGGGACTGTAATTTGCCCATGATCAGTGACCTGCCACATAGCAGAGCTTTAAGACTTATCTATCCAAGGTAAATCATTTGTTTTTCGTTTTTGTATTTTTGTTTGTTTTCCAGAAAATTCATTTTGATTTCTGTCACATGGTTTTTGTTGTTAGCTTGTTTTAAACTGTGTGTGTGTGTGTGTGTGCCTGTGTGTATGTGTGTTTGTGTCCCTGTATGTGTGTATGTGACGCTCATGTCATGGTACAAATTTGAAGGTCACAGGACAACTCTGTATTGACAGTTCTGTTTGTGCCTGTCTGTGGGAACCAGAGATTAAACTCAGGTTGCCAGGCTTGCATGACAAGCTCCATTACCTGCTGAGCCACCGCACTGGCCCCTCAAAGTTTATTATTTTAAATATGTGATCAACATTTGATGTAAGTTTGTGTAGGCACTAGTGGTAAAGGATAGGCTTAGAGGAGGAGGTCCTTCTTGTGCCTGGTGGGGAGGAGTGGAGAGTTAGATTCTCGAAACAGACCCTTGTGAGGAATAGGATATCAGATTTCCTTTAGCGGGAGGGTAAAAGGGTGGGTAGCTAAGGTAGAGTCCCTCTAGACCTGGCTATCCTGTAGGTTTCAATGTAGACCAGGCTGGCCTCAAACCTTCAGAGATCTGTCTGTCTCTACCTTCTGAGTGGTGGGAGTAAAAATACATGCCACCATGCCCAGCTACAGATTTACATTGTAGAAAGAGGATTCTGACACTAATGTATGTTGTCATTTTGAGAAAACAGATTAGGGATATATTTTAACTAATTAAGACTAATTAATGGTACATATGTATAATAATGGGTAGATAAGAGATATATTAAGGAGGCAAAACTGATAAAATTTGATTGATTAGAAGTGCTGTTACACTGTTAAAGAAAGAAGTGGGGAAATACTGCTCCAAGCAGGGTCTTTCTGAGTAGGATTTTAGTCACTCAGAAATGAGGTCAGCAGTCGGCAAATGGTATCACATGATATTAAAACAAATCTGTACAGCAAAGGAATGAGCTAATCAAATGAAAAGACAGCTTCCATTTGACAGGTTAGTATCTAAATAAACAAAGAACACAAGAAAAGAAACAAGAAAACAAATGACCAAATCAGTAAATGGACTGATGAAATGAACAGTTCATGAAAGGTGAAATCTAAATTTAAATAAACATGTGAATAAGTGTTCTGCTTCACGAGCTATTGGAGAAAAGCAAATCACAACCACATGGAGATGCTCTCCTACTCAAGTCAGATTGGCAGTCATTAAGGACAGGGAGCCTGGAGAGATGGCTCAGCAAATAAAGAGGTTCCTGCTGCTAAGCCTGACCACCTGAGTTCAGACCCCAGGACCCACATGGTGGAAGGAGAGCACCAACTTGCACAGGCTGTCCCCTAACTGACACGTGCATTGTAGTATATGCATCTACACCCCTACCACCCACCACATATGCACACAGTAAATGAAAATAGAATAATATGGAGCTGGAGAGATGGTTTCAAGGTTAAGAGCAGCTGCTACTATCTCAGAGGACCTGGGTTCAGTTATCAGCACACACATCCTCAACCCCTTCCAGGGTATCCAACAGGCACCAGTATGGTGCACATACATGCATGCAGGTAAAATATCCATACTATAAAGTTAAATATATAAAAATAAATTTAAGTAATAAAACAAAAATGCTAGCACAGATGCCCTTACATATTGCTGGTGATATAAACTAGAGCAGCCATATGGAATTAATGTGGAGGTTTTTCAAAGACGTAAAAATATATCTACCCTATGACCCAGCTATACTGTTTCTGTGTACCTGAAGGACTCCCAGGTGTTCACAGTATCTAAATTCTAGATCCAGTCTAGGTGTCCAGAAACAGGAGTGGATAAAGAAAATGGAAAAATTTTAAGACTTAAAGAATGAAGTTATGTTGTTTGCAGGAAAATGGATACAACTGGAGATAATAATACTAAGTTAATTAAGCCAGGCTCAGACAGATGTATGATTTTTCAAATTCGAGGCTCCTAAATTTTAGACAGTTATATATGTATATGTAAAATGAAGGAAATCAGAAGTGAAATTGTTTAGGGATACAAAGGATTCACAGCGGAAGGGTATTGGGTGGGAGAATATACTCAATACATAAATTTTAGTAAAAAGTAAACAACAGCAGCAAAAACAGTGTACAGAAGGGTGTGCTCTTCACAGTTTTCTGGATGGTGAGGTGAGCAGCTGTGTTTGGCTTTGGAAGGATTCAAGTGAGGATGTTGTGTGGGAAATGGAGTGGCACATCACTCAAGTTAACTGGAGGCGCCTGGACCAGGTTAGGATGTCGTCGTCTAGTGGATGGGCACTGAGCCCGCTGAAGTGGATACTTTGCCTCAGGAGCATATTCCAGAGAGAGGTTTCAGGACAGAAGCCTGATGTCTCCATCCTGTCACAACGCATGTGGTGACACCACCTAAGATGACTGGGAGCTGCCTCCAGCATGTCTGTGTCACTCCATCTATAGTATAAGACCCTTCAAATTAGAATTTAATCAGTCAAGGGATAGGATCCTAATGGGATCATCACTTGAATAAAACTTTCCTGACCAAGTTGCTAACCTCTTATGGGTAGAATGTCTCGTTTTTTCTTCTTATTGTCCCTATAATTTGTTAGCTATTTCACATAGAAACATTGTGGATATTAGCTGAATGATGTGAACATAACACTGAGAATATGTTATAAATGTTCTGTTTAAAGGATGTCCAGAAGAAGTCTTTTGAAGAGAAATACGATACCTTCATGACTATTTGCCAAAACTTTGAACCAGTTTTTCGTTACTTCTGCCTGGAAAAATTCTTGGACCCAGCTGTTTGGTTTGAGAAACGATTGGCATATACGCGTAGTGTGGCCACGTCTTCTATTGGTAATCCTGTATAACTTACATATTGAGCACATAACTATATTCTGACTTACCAGAGGATGATAGTGGTAATGGTAGTTGTTGCTCAAACTGTCCTCACGATTTGATCATTGTGTTTGTTCATGCTAATTTGTTAGCTTGCAACCATCTTTATAGACAAGAATTCCATTCTGAGGTAGGAAACTAAAACCAATTTTGTTTTTAATATAGTGGATATAGTTTATTTTCACTCCCTTTAATATAAGTTCTTTGAGATTTTCTTTGGAATGTAAAACCTCTCATAGCACCCTTTGGCTTTCTTTTATTATTGTTCTGTACAGAATCTCTGTAATAGATTTCCACTCAATGGTTCATTGTTTAGTAAAATCTCAGAACAGAAATTGTGATATGTATTTAAATACTTGCTATTCAACGTATGTTTTGACTTTTTAATTTTTTATGAGAATGGAATAAAGTTGTTAGATAAATTAGTTAACAAAATCCTAAAGTATGAAAACCGTAACAATGTAGAAACTGGGTGGCCGGGAAGAACAAGTGGGCCCTCTCCCTACAAAAATAACAATGTAGAAACTGTCTCATGTTAATTTGCAACTGAAAACAGTTTCTTGTGCCACTTTTGTACTGTACTTAGAGTGACAGGACATGTAGGTTTAGGCAAGATCCCCAGTATTTGTGGAACCTCTTCTGCCTTGAAAATCACTAATTGGGTTAAAGTGGTGTGAGTTATGAACAAGAAATCAAGCTCAGTTAACAGTAAGGCTGGCCAGGCACGAGACATCCTGTTTTCTACCCAATGATTTTTCTGTAGTACTGCATGGTAGCTCAGCGGGCTAAAGGTATTTTAAGGCATATCATTCTCTGTCTTAAAAATCAAAATACGGTTATGCCTGCAAAAGCACCTGTGAAATCAAGTAGTGATCCATTTCTGGTCAGCGTAGTTTATCAGGCAGAGAGGAAAGCTTCACTGTTGAATGTTGTTGAAGTTGCCAATCACTGTATCTCTCTTAAGAACACTTAATAAAAATTTGAGTGTATTGCACTGGCTGAGGTAAATCAGGGTCTCCAGCTTTCCACTAATTTTTCCACACTAATTTCAGAAAAAATCAGTGCTTTCTAATAAAGAGAAAACATTTATAGCAGTATATCTATTTTTTAAATGTAATGTACACTAAAGTATCTGGCTAGATTTGACTTAAACTCTACATGCTAATTACAATGTATAATTTTCTTTAAATAGCTTTAAAGTCTGAACTACTTAAAAATTGTTTAGAATCAGTGGTATTATGGTTGAATATGTGTTAGAAATTTCAATGGTTGTTTTGTTTTTTCCCTAGTTGGTTACATCCTTGGACTTGGTGATAGGCATGTACAGAATATCTTGATAAATGAGCAGTCAGCAGAACTCGTGCATATAGATTTAGGTGAGTAGTAAAAGATTTGTATCTTTCATTAATGTTTAGTCATCAAGGACTATTTGCCTATGAGAAAGTATACAACTTTAAGTTTTTTTCTTCAGCATAAGCACTTGTGGTGAGAGGAGCAGCCATCTTCACCTACAATAATAAGTAAAACTTACTGTAAGAGGTGGCAGCTCAAGAAAAGAAGGAAGAGTGATCGAGAATGTGGAAATCTAAAAATGGGGACAGGGTAATAATTGAGAGAGCTGTCCTAAATATCGCTAGAGGGAACTCTGCCTGAAATTAAGTAGTTAGAGAGAGAGAGAGAGAGAGAGAGAGAGAGAGAGAGAGAGAGAGAGGGAGGGAGAGACAA